ATTTTCATCCATGCCAGAACTGGCTCAGAAAATCAAAACTTTTTTTGCCCTGGCTCCTGTAGTAACGATGAAGCACGCCAGAAGTCCTGTCTTGAAAATGTCATTCCTTCTTAACGGAAAACCCGAAATGCTTCAGGTATGAGATTCACCCCTACTCTAATCCTCTGAATGCTAGAAAACGGACATTGTTTCCAGGCCATCTGAAGCAGCAGAAAGCAGCTGATTTCCACAGAGGTAATAGCCTAGGGAAGGGAAATGTAAGAAGCTACCTTCACCATTTGTTTCCCCAGATCCTATTGGGCAAGACAGATGCCTCACTGAGGATAAGGAAGCTGTGGAGATTTCTTCCTAACCTGTGCAGGCACCCGCTCCTGCATAAGCCCTGTGCCGACCTATTTTTCCTGCTGGGTGGCTTCAACGAGAAGAACTTCAACATGGTGCGTCTGTCCATCAGTCCAGCAGACTCAGAGCAAGGCACTCAGCAAGGTCTGGAGGCCCACGAGTGGCCACCAAGGATTTGTGCATGGTCACTGGGCTGGGCAGGGTGTCCTTGCGGACTCGCTGAACATGGGCTCTGGGAGAGCACCTTGCAGGGAGTTTCCCTCATAGGGACAGTTGGTGTCCTTTCCTGGGGATTGGAGACTTCTGGTTTCAGGGAGGAGGGCTGCTCTTGGTGGTGGAAAGCTTAAAACTGCTGACCTACCAGTTGTCATCTACTAGCCCTGGAGGAAGTGAGGTTTGGTAGGGCATGGGGAACGCTGAGGCTAAATGTTGCTAACAGTTTGTTTCTTCTTCCAGAGTTGTATAAGAACAATTGATTTTTAATTTGAAATTATGTTTGTGAACCTGACCTAACTCTCTAGGCAGCACAACACAGTAGAGGCTCTTGGAAAACACAATCTGGCAAACATTGTGTCTGTTCCTACTCACCTGCAAGCAATGATATCTTGAGTGTGTTTCCCTGCAGACCCGGCTAGATGTATACACAGCCCACTATCCTGATAGCACATCTGTCAAAAACTTAATACACTGGACCCAGGTATGTCCCCTGAATGGATGGCCTCACCCCTTGGCTGGTCTCTGAACCTGGTGTCTCCAGGTGTGAGAGACCAGCACGTGTTGATGCTAGCAACTTGTGAGGGAGGAAAGGGATAAAACAGAGCCTGCAGAAGGGGCTTAGGATACAGGCAGAGCTGCTCTGTTTCCCATTATTTGCTCTTTTTCACTGCACTGAGATGTGTGCACTGGGCTGCTCTGCTGGGAGCCAGCCCTTGAGAGTCTTTGAGGTATGGAACGCATATGGTGGTCCTGCCACGTCCCGCTGCATGGTTATCCTTTCCCCCCAGGTGAAGACATCTGGAGAGTTTAAAGCTTTCGACTACGGCAGCAAAAACCAAGCTGCATACCACCAGGTAGGGGTTGCGGTGCTGGTGTCCAGGACATCTGCATCCAATCCTGCAGCCAGGCTCACACCAAGCCTGTCCTGTGTTCTGTGGGGCTAGGTGAGCCCGTAGGGTTTCCCAGATGATTCTCACGTCCCTCCAGGAGAAGCCTCTCTACTACCAGTTGGAGAAGATGCCTGTGCCCACAGCAGTGTGGTCAGGGGGTGAGGATTGTGTAGCTGACCAGAGGGATGTCCTCCTGCTGCTGCCACGCATCACCCACCTCATCTCCTACATGCACATCACCGACTGGAACCACTGGGACTTCATCTGGGGCCTGGACAGCCCTGGACGCCTCTACAGCTGCATCGTGGCTATGGTGAAAGGGTCCCAGCAGGGCAAGACCCAGCTCAGCAGTGCCCCGAGGAAGCAGCGGGATGTGATCAGACCCCAATAGCGGTACACTGGGGATGGCTGAGCCAAATTTTTCTAGGCTGCATCAAGGGGTGCTGGGAGGGGCCCTGGCCCTGCTCATGGCCAAGGGCTCGAGTGGGGCATGGAGAACCCGTCTTCACCAGGGCCGGGTCATGGCTTCTCCACTATGCAGTGGTGCTCTGCAAGTTCCCACCCTGCTGAAAAACGTGCAAAAACACGGTGCTCCCTCCCCATCACCACCCTCCACCCAAAACCCCCCCCCCCCCACAAAACACAACAGAAATAAGAACTTGAAGGGGATTTTTTGTGCATTGTCAGAGCTCAGTGCTAAGGCGAGGGTTAAACAGCAGCTCAGCCCTGGGGTGAAGGTTCAACAGCAGCGCGGCCCCACGAGATCCGGGGCGGCCCCGGAGGCGGGCGGACGCCATGGAGCGCGGCGGCGGCGGGCGGCGGGTGCTGGTGGTGGGCGCGGGGATGGCGGCGCTGGGGGCGGCGCAGCGGCTGCAGGGCACGGGCGGCGTGCGGCTGCTGGAGGCGGGGGGCCGCGTCGGTGGCCGCGTCTGCAGCCTCCCCTTCGGTAGGGAGCGGAGGGCGCGGGGCGCGGGGGTGGCAGCGGCCCCGGGATGACGCCGCCTTCCTCCCACAGCCTCAGGGCTGGCAGAGCTGGGCGCTCACTGGATCCACGGGCCCTCGGAAGGGAACCCCGTCTTCCGCCTGGCTTCCGGCTACGGCCTGCTGGGCCCCGGGGCCACCGAGGAGGAGAACCAGCGGGTGGAGGCCAAGGGACACCCGCTGCTTCCTGTCATCACCTACGGTAGCTCAGGGAAGGTGCTGAGCCCCGAGCTGGTGAGCAGCACCCGCAGCCTCTTCAGCGAGCTGCTGGGCTCGGCCCAGGCCCTCGCGGGCGTGTCGGAGCTACCAGCCAACAGCGTGGGGCAGTACCTGCGGGCAGAGATCACCCGGCTGGCCTCCGCCTGGGATGAGGACAAGGATGACAAGCAGCTGCGGCTGGCCATCCTCAGTGCCTGCCTCAAGCTGGAGTGCTGCATCAGTGGCACCCACAGCATGGACATGGTGGCCTTGGGGTCCTTTGGGGAGTACACCTCGCTGCCTGGCCTGGATTGCACCTTCCCAGGGTGAGCAGGAGCACCGGGAACACCCTGTGCAGGGGTACGTGGCAGTGAAGGAAGGTGTCTCTGGTCCTATCCTCTCCTACAGTGGCTACAGCAGCCTGCCTGAGCGCATGCTGGAGACCCTGCCAGAGGGCACCGTCCTGCTCAACAAACCAGTGAGGACTATCCAGTGGCAGGGGTCCTTCCGTGAGGAGGGGGACACAGACAGGGACTTCCCTGTCCGGGTGGAGTGTGAGGATGGTGACTCTTTTCTCACTGACCATGTTATTGTCACCGTCCCACTGGGTGAGGCTTGAGGGGCCCTGCCCAACCACTGCATCACTCCACTGAGCCCCTGGGGCAAGTGGCCTGGTTGCAGTGGAAGGAAGCCACTCCACCTTCTCTCTGCAGGTTTCCTCAAGGAACGGCATCAGGACTTTTTCCAGCCTCCCCTGCCTCAGAGGAAGGCAGAGGCTATTCGCCGCCTAGGCTTTGGCACCAACAACAAGATCTTCCTGGAATTTGAGCAGCCCTTCTGGGAGCCTGAGCAGCAGCTGCTGGAAGTAGTGTGGGAGGACGAATCACCTCTTGCTGAGCCCAGTACTGACATGAAGGCCAACTGGTTCAAGAAGCTTGTTGGCTTTGTGGTCCTGCAGCCACCAGAGCAGTAGGTGGCCCGGCACTTTGGCCCTACGCAGTGCTGGTTTGGGGGTCTTTCAGGGCGATGCGGTCTGGAGCAGGTAGGGCTTCAGGCTGTGCAACTCAGTCCCCACCTCCCATCGGGTGCTCCTTCTCCCCACCAGGGTTGGGCACGTCCTCTGTGGCTTCATCGCTGGCAAGGAGTCAGAGTACATGGAGACACTGAGCGACGCTGAGGTTCTCAGCACCATGACCCAGGTCCTCCGCACACTGACAGGTACCTGATCCTCCACCTCCCCAACACCTCCATATGCAGGAAGAGGCCCAGCAGGCTGGGGGCTCTGTCCGGCCCTGCCTGAGATGTGCCCCATGGCCCACAGGCAACCCGCACCTGCCCACACCCTGCAGTGTGCTGCGCTCCTGCTGGCACAGCACTTCCTACACACGTGGCTCCTACAGCTACGTGGCTGTTGGAAGCTCTGGAGAAGACATAGACATACTGGCACAGCCACTGCCCGAGGATGCATCTGACCCAAGGGTAAGGGCATGGAGGGTAATAATAGCGTGGGACTTGGGACAGCTCCAGTGTGCAATGGGGTGTGCAGTAGCATGTGCCCAAGGAGCACAGAGCTCTGTGCGGGGTCACTTGGGTCCTTTGGTGTGGAATGGCGGGACAGGGTGGGGAACACCTCATCTCTTAAACTGGGGAGGTGTGGCCCGCAGAACACATCCCAGCGCCCTCCAGGCATGGGGCATTTCCCCAAGGCCTCAGGCACCCACTCAATGGGCCGGCGTCAGGGACGGCCTCAGGCAAGCTGTGGGCACGTGTAGCCGCGGGTGGGCCTGATGCTGCCCCCGGCCCTGACCCCCGCCCCGTAGCCGCTGCAGGTGTTGTTCGCGGGGGAGGCCACGCACCGCTCCTTCTATTCCACCACGCACGGCGCGCTGCTATCCGGTTGGCGGGAGGCCGAACGCCTCAACCAGCTCCCGCGGGCCGCGGCCCGATCGTAATAAAGGTTCCTTCCCCACAGAGTTCCGCCTGGTTTATTGCCCGCCGGCCGCCCGTCCTCCGCGGACCGTCAGTACCAGTTGGTGCCGGCGATCATGAAGCGCGTGTCGTCCAGCGGGGCTGTCGCGGGGCCTGGCTGCGGGGCGGCGTCCGGGGGGGGTTGCGGGGCGGCAGGCGGCTGCGAAGTAGGCTGCGAAGGAGACTGCGGAGCCGCGGTGGGCGCGGCGGGCGCTGGGCCTGGACCCGCCGCTGAGCTCCGAGGCTCCCCGCTGGGCCGCGGCTCCGCCATGACGCTGAAAGAGCGCTGTGTCACGGCTGGGTCGGGCCACGCCCCCCGCCACAACCGCATCCCCGCACTCACCTCCCAGCGCCCCTCCGCTTCCTCCTTCCGCTTCTCACGGCGGAAGTGACGGCCGGAAGTGACTCACCGGAAGTGTCATGAGGAGCTGGGTGGGACCGCTGCGCGCCGCCGCCGCCTGGGGGCCGTGCTCGGAGTCGGGCGGGTTCCGCACCCGCTTCGATTTCGGCAGCCGCGATGCGGCCTCATGGTTCCCCGGGCACATGGCGAAAGGTGAGAGCCCGGTAGCGGCGGGGGGGGGCCTTCCCGTCGGTGCCTCCGGCCGCTCCGCTCAGCGGGCGTTGTGTTGCAGGACTGCGGCAGATGCGGGCCTCCCTGCGGCGTGCCGACTGCCTCGTCGAGGTGCACGACGCTCGTATATCCTTAGACGCCGAGTCCTGCGCTGTGCCCTACTGCCAAGTGCTTCTAGTTCCTAAGCCGCTCGAGCGGCACCGGCCCCCCGCACGGCATTCAGACTGCCTCCCAGCTCCCTGCTTTCTCCAGCACGCGCTGTCTCCGTGCCGTTCCGCCCTCCGGGTACCACGGTCTAAGTTCCGAAATCCCCCTGAGATGCACCGGCCCCGCAACCCCCAAAATGGTGCCTCCTGTTTTCCATAAGGTCCCATACCGGTCCCCGACCATGTTTTCCCCTACGTCTGCCTCTGCACATAGTCATTCATTCACTCCCTTTTGGTCCCTGTACCCATATTCATCTGTCCATGAGGTAGTTTGCTCTCAGCCCCATAACCCCCCAAACCAGCCCCCATGCCCCTCTTTTCTCTGTGATCTGCTCCAGCACGCAGTTGCTTCAGCGCCCCTTTAAGTCCTGCATCTGTGCTGTTACCTAGTTCCAAGCCTCTTCATCCCACATGCCACACCAGCCCCCCACTCTCCTGTTTTCCCTCATACCACAGTTGTTCTCCTTAGCAGCCACACATCCCACTGTCAGGCCGTAATCCTGTGCTGCAGGAGGTGCTGGGCATCCGCCCACATCTTCTGGTGCTGAACAAGATGGACCTGGCTGACCCACGCCAGCAGTCAGTGAGTGCTGGAGGCAGAGAGTGGGCTGGGACCCCGCAGGGCTTCAGTAGGACAATACTAGTGAGCTCCTGTCCCCACAGAGAGTCCTGGAGCAACTGAGGCAGCAGGGATGCTCGCATGTTGTCTTCACTGATTGTCAGCGGGATAGCAATGTCAAGAAGGTACTGTGCTGCTGCTGTGTCCTCAGTTGGCCCTGAGGCTGCGGTGAGAGCATCCTCCCCACTTCCCACAGATTGTGCCCCTGGTCGCCAAGCTAGTCAGCAGCAGCCCACGCTACCACCGGGCTGAGGTGAGTAGGGGCAGGGAGGCTGCAGCCTGGGTATGTCCTTTGGTGGAGCACAGCACCTGCACGTGTCCTCCTTGCTTTCAGAGTATCGAGTACAGCATCATGGTGATTGGTGTGCCCAATGTAGGCAAGTCATCGCTTATCAACTCTTTGCGGAGGTTGCACCTCAAAAAGGGTACACCCAAGTTTCCGTAGCATTGGGAGGTTGCTGCTCCAGCATCACGCACCACCCTCACTCTCTCCTTTTCCCCAAAGGAAGAGCCACAGCAGTGGGTGGTGAGCCAGGTGTCACCAAGGCGGTGCTGACCCGGATCCAGGTACCATCTCCCCCTGTGGGTGCGGCTGCAGGGTGCAAACTTTCTCCCATGAAGCGCCTCATCACTTTGCAGCGAGGCCTTGGCTAAGAGCCCCCACTGAGCCTGTGGTCTTGGTGGTGGGACCACAGGTGTGCGAGACTCCCCTGATGTACCTGGTGGACACGCCAGGTGTGCTGCCCCCAAAGTTGGCCGATGTGGAGACGGGGATGAAGCTGGCATTGTGTGGTATGGGGCCATGGAGCAGGGAAGCCTGGGGCAGGCTGTGTGGAGAAAGCTGACAAGGCTGGGGGCTTCCCTCTGGCAGGAGCCATCCGTGACCATTTAGTGGGTGAGGACATCATGGCTGACTACCTGCTGTACGTACTGAACCAGCAGCAGCAGTTTGGGTGAGTGGGGAGCAGGGCATGGCTTGGGCACCCCGAGGTGTGGGTGGGTGCCGCATCCTCTCTGCAGATACATGGAGCGCTATGGACTGCCCGAGGCCAGTGACAACATCAGGCATGTGCTGAAGTACGTGGCGGTCACCCTGGGCAAGATGCAGAAGGTGAAGGTGCTGACAGGCACAGGTGAGCATGGGGTTTGGGGATCAGTGGGCTGTGGGCTCTGCTGAGGATTGTGGCAACCCTCTCTGTCCATTCTGCAGGGAATGTCAACATGATGATGCTCAACTACTCAGCTGCTGCCTATGAGTTCCTGCGGGCCTTCCGTGCCGGGCGCCTGGGTAGACTGACATTGGACTGAGGGTCCTGGAGTAGAGCAGGGCATGCCACATCTCCCCCAGCTCCAGGTGGTGGCATGGTGTGATTAAAGCTGCTTTGTTCCTAGATGGGTCACGTCGTGATGGCTGCATCCTCCCCACTGGGACTGGTGGGAAAGGGAAGGGGGAGGCACAGCCTCCGGGGAAGCCCAAACCGTGCAGGTGCCACCTGTAGCCCCAAGTAAAACCACAGAGGCCTCGGTGCAGGGTGTTACAGCTATCCCCGTACCTGCACCCAGTCCTTGCTTGGGCCGTGTCCAGCCACACGTGGTGTCACCCAGCTTTATTTCCATGTTGCTGTGGGATCGCTTTGGGAACCCAGGGGTCCCAGTGGATGCCATCAGTGGTGCAGGATGGCAGCGAGCGGACAGAGCCATGGCACGGCCCAGCCCCATTCCACCTGTTCTGGTGCCAGCGATGTCCAGGCTGTCCCATTGCCTTCGTGGTACTCCGTCTCTGCCTGGGCCTGGTGCAGTGTGGCTCCAGCTGCTGCCCCAGCTGCTGCTGCCGCAGCCACACGCAGAGCCCCGCCATAGCGTGGCAGGCCCCTGTGCCGGCTGCGGGCAGCCCCCCGCGCCATGCCGCGTGCAGCCCCCCGGGAGCCCCCACGCCCGCCCTTGGCGGTGGCCGGTTGGCAGAAGGTGGCAGCAAGCAGTAGCAGCACCCAGCAGCAGGCCACACACTGCCTCATCCTGCTGACCTGCACACAGGGAGGGCTCTGCTGTGGGCAGGTGCTCACCTCACTACGTGCATGCGCGATGCGTCTGTGTGCACCAGCCCTGGTCCTGTGCATGCACCCACTGAAGCTCTATAAGCACTGCACGTGCCAGGATCATGCATGCACCCTGGCTTACAGCGCACCCATATGTGGTGTGTGAGTGCAGTCACATCGTGCATGGGCTGCAGACATTGCACGCATCAACACGGGCTGTACAGGCATGCAGGCAGCCATGAAGTCTCCCTATGCCTTGCACATGCATCGATGCGTGGGATGCATGGTGCGTGCATGCAGCCCTGGTTGCAGCCTGCATGTGCATGTGTTGTGTGTGTGCCACATGCACCAACATAGGGATTACACATGCATGCCACATTCACAACATGCATGTCAATTGCATGACACGTGGATTACACATGTCATTTGCACCAAAATGTGTGTTACTGGAACCTGGGGTGCACAAGCACGTGGTTTGCAAGTGTCTGCGATATATGCCAACACATGCATTACATATCTTGCATAACACATGGATTGCACAAATATGTTGCATGCACCAACATATGTATTACATACACTGACACATGGATGACATGTGTGTGTCACACACATCAACATGCTTGCCACACGCGCTGACACACGGGCTGCACAGACACGTGTGAGCCGCTGTGCTGTCACCAGCCCTGCACGTGCACTTGCACCCGGAGTGCCCGACCACACGCGCGGTGTCCCCCTGCACGCGCTGCACATCCGCACGACCTCCCACAGCCATGGGCTCGAGCTCCGACGCACCCGTGCATGGCCAACGCACGGCCGTACGCACCTCTCCGCACGGGGGCCGCGCATCCGCGCAGCGATCCCCGACGCCTTCCGCTCCCACGTGCCGCGTGGGCGCCTCCCCTCCGCGCTCGCCGGCCCCGGGGCTGCCACCCGCTCCGCTCCTCTCGGCGTCGGGCGGTGGCCACGGGGCCGCGCCGCACGCCCTCGGGAGACGTGGAGAGCGGACACGCGTGGGGAGCTGCGGGGCCCTCGTCGGCCAATGGCACAGGCGCGCTGCGGGCAGCGGCAGCGCCGACCAATGGGCGCGGGGCGGAGCGAGGCTGCAGGACGGCGGGGGCGTGGCCGCGCAGCTCCGCGCCTCGCAGCGAAATGGCGGCCTCGCTGCGCGCCCTCCTCCGCCCCGGTGCCGGTGTCTGCGCCGGTGCCGCGCGGCGCCGCGCTCTCCTGGCGGCACTCCGCCCCCTCGTGGCGGGGCGGGGGTACAGCGACGGTGAGCGAAGGGTCGGCGGCAGCGGGCGCTGGGAGGGGAGCGCTGCGGGGTGGGGGGAAGAAAGGGCACCTGGAGCCAGGGGCGGGCAGTGGGCTTAGGCAGTGCTCGGGACACCGGCACCGGGCGAGGGGCACCGGGAGCCACCCCCACGGAGCGCGGAGCCCACCGCCCACCTGGGTGAAGATCGCCCCATAATGGCGCGCGGTCACCTGGCCGCGCAGGGCCCCCGTTCCGCTTCCTGCAGGTGCAGAAGGCCGGGGCGGGCGGCAGCGTGGGGCTGATCCGGCTGCAGCGGCCCGAGGCGCTCAACGCGCTCTGTGCGGGGCTGATGGAGGAGCTGGGGCGTGCGCTGGACGCCTTCGAGGCCGACGGGCAGGTGGGAGCTATTGTCATCACCGGCAGTGAAAAGTCCTTTGCGGGTACGGCCCCGACACCCTGTGGTCCCACCCCCCTCCTCTGGGGATCCCAACGCAGCCCTTTGGGTACAGCATAGGCGGTCCCCCTTGCAGCTGGCGCTGACATTAAAGAGATGCAGAACAAAACCTTCCAGGAGTGCTATAGTGGCGGCTTCCTGGCTGGCTGGGATCGGGTGGCCACTGTCCGCAAGCCCACCATCGCCGCCGTTAATGGCTTCGCTGTGAGTGCCCCTTCTGTGTCCCCGTGTCCCACGTCCGTGCTGCCCATATACCATAGCCTCACTGTGCTTGCAGCTGGGCGGCGGCTGCGAACTGGCCATGATGTGCGACATCATCTATGCCGGGGAGAAGGCGCAGTTTGGGCAGCCCGAGATCCTGCTGGGGACGATCCCAGGTGAGCGTGGAGGCTGTGTGTCCCGGGCGGGTTGGTGACAGCCGCGTGCCTGCTGCCATGCCCACCGCCCCACCCCCAGGCGCCGGCGGAACGCAGAGGCTGACCAGGGCGGTGGGCAAGTCGCTGGCCATGGAGATGGTGCTGACTGGGGAGCGGATCTCGGCGGCGGAGGCCAAAGCGGCAGGTAGGGGTGTGGGTGAGGCTGGGGGCACAATGAGGACTTCCCCCACCACCTCCCTGCTTGTCCCCAGGTCTGGTCAGCAAAGTCTTCCCCACGGAGAAGCTGCTGGATGCGGCCATTGGCTGCGCTGAGAAGATCGCTACCAACTCCAAACTGGTGGTAGCTATGGCCAAGGAGTCCGTCAATGCTGGTATGGGGGTCAGGGATGGGGTGAACTCAGGGTTTTAGGGGGCTGAATGGTGTTCCCATCTCCTCGTCTCTCATCGTGTCCCATCTCCTCATCCCCATCTTTTCTCCATCTCCTTGTCCCCATCTCCAGCGTTCGAAACAACACTGACAGAGGGCAACAGGACAGAGAAGCGCCTTTTCTATGCCACTTTTGCCACCGTGAGTACAGGGCTGGCCCTGGAAACACAGGGAGGGTGAGGCTGTGGAACACCCCAACCCATTCTCTGCCACCAGGACGATCGCAAGGAAGGGATGACTGCATTTGTGGAGAAGCGCAAAGCCAACTTCACTGACAGTTGAGCTGCAGAACCAGCAGACACTTGTTCCCCTTTGCTGCCCTTCACCAGCCATGTGCCTCAAAATGAAGGACGGGTCTGTTGGCACCGCAGAGGGAGTCAGCACCCGACACTGACTGATGCCCACACTGGGCAAGATCCTCAGCAGGGTTTTGCTTGTTATTGCTATTAAAAGGCTTTCCTGGTGCTGCCGGTGCATCAACATTTTTGTTGGAAATGACAAAACTGAGAAGCACTGGAGATGGCTGGGAGCCCTTCCCATGGGCTGACCTGGGGCTGGGGTGACAGGCCGAGCCCCCTGGCCTGCTGGACTCTTCTATTCCTGTCAGAAACCAGGCATCCACCAGGCTGCTCAACAAGGAGAGGTTTACTGGGGGCCCACGGGGAGGGCAGGGCTGGAGCCTCATTCAGCTGTGGTAGAGGTGGTCATGATCCTCTGAGGGGCCATTTTCCACTTCTGCTGATAGAACCAGGCGCTCTCTGCAGGACTGGAGTTCAGGCTCCACCTCAACCTTGACTGAAGGGTGGTAGAGATGGTCGCGGTCCTGCTCTGGCCCCACCTGGACCCGAGCAGGGTCTGGAGGGAACAGAGGCCGTGAGGCAGTGTCCTTGGCAAGCTTGGCTTCCTCTGCCTCCTGTGCGGCCTGGATGCTGTAAGAGAGCAGAGGTGGCCCGTGGGGCAGCAAGTCATGAAAGCTAACCCCATGTTGTCAGTGCCTGCCTGAGGGCTGAGTGGGTCCATTTGGATTTAAAACATGAATTAGTGGGCTCTTTGGGTGCTCATCTCACGAGTGGCACAGGCACGATGGCAGCATTGCTGCAAGGGAAGCAATAGCAGCTTTGAAGCAAGGTGAAGCAAAACCAGGGCCATGCAGCTTAGAGGGTTTGAGTGATGTGAGGGGAAATGCATGAGCAGGAAGCCCCTTAACTGTTAGGAATTCAAAGCAGCAAGGATAATACATCCCCTTAAAGTGCCTAATCATAGAATCATAGAATCATAAACAGCCTGAATTGAAAAGGACCATAATGATCAATCTAGTTTCAACCCCCCTGCTATGTGCAGGGTTGCCAGCCACTAGACCAGGCTGCCCACTGATGTTTGCCCACTGCTTTCCCCAGCCCGATCCCAGCCACAATGCAGCACTCAGTGGTGCAGGCAGTGTGGCTGTAGCCCCTCTTACATCTCCTTCGCCAGATTCTGCTCCGCATCCACATCCCATCTGAGACCAAGAGCCTGCAGCAGAGAAGGACAAGGTGAGGGTCAGCTCTGTGCCCGGCCCTGGGCCACAGAGAGCTGTGGGCTCACCTGGGTGCCTTCAGGGGCTAGCAGCAGGAGAGCTGCACCCAGCAGCACAGCTACACCACAGGGACCCATGGTGCCTCTGCCTGTGCATAGCCCTTGCCCCGCACTTTGCCCCTGGGTGTGGTGCAGCCACGCATGTCGTGTGGTTGCATGGGGGAGTGGTATGGGTCATGCAGGTGCGCCCCATCGTGCACATGTATACATACACCCTGCAGAGCACCAGCAGCAGTCGAGTTAGCAGCTGCTGAGGGCTGCAGGTCTGCAAAC